AATCTTACATAAGTTATTATGCTATGAAATATTCCATAAGAATTATGATTGATGCAGAATATTTCGGAATTTTTAATTTTGAAATCTTATATAATAAATTTTCAAAATATTTCGAAATATATTTTGAAATATTCGAAATATATTACATAAGATTTCGAAATATTTGCATTAAATTTTAAAATATTTTGAAATATTTCACAAAATTCAAAATTAAACAGTACATATATAACATAAATATTGCAATTCGTAAAACAAAATATAAACTATTACATATATATTTTTATACGTATTAAATTTTTTTATTATATTTATTACATATTTATTACATATTTATTATATATTTATTACATACACACTCTATACTATTTTTGTTCTTTAAAAAAACAAAATAGTTCATTCAATACCAATTACCTAATGGTTCTGAATTATCATTCCTAGCACCATTTTCTGTACCAAAGTCCAGCAAAATACGAACTTACAAAAGAGAAAACAGTTAGAGCATAATTTCATACAAAGAAGAGATGAAGAGAATTCCAGAACTCACCTAGAAAGAGAAGGATAGTAGTTAAACGTGTTTAAGAAAAAAATCGAAAATATATAGTATTTACAAAAGCCAAAAGTATAATTCTATATGAAGAAGCGATGAAGAGAATTCTGAAACCCACCTGGAAAGAGAAGAGTGTGTTCAAGAAAGAAATCAAAATCAACTAACAAAATATATAGTATTCACAAAGACCAGAAGCATAGTTCCATACAAAGAAGTAATGAAGAGAATTCTGGAACCCACCTAGAAAGAGAAGGGTGGTAGTTAAATGTGTTTAAGAAAGAAATCGAAAATATATAGTATTTACAAAAGCCAGAAGTATAATTCCATATGAAGAAGCGATAAAGAGAATTCTGAAACCCATCTAGAAAGAGAAGAGTGTGTTCAAGAAAGAAATCAAAATCAACTAACAAAATATATACCGTAAATTCTCAGAATAGCAGGCATCTACATGCTATTTTGACTATGTGCGTGCTATTTCGAGTACGCCCATGGACATTATTTTGAATCAAGGATTAATTTTTAATAAACTTGATTGCCAAAAGATCATACATAAAAAAGTTAAAAGATCATACGCAAAAACAGAAAAAAGAGACCAAAAAGCTAATAAATTAAAAAAATGCAAAATCTGGATTTGACAAGTAATTCTATATGTGGTGCGCATTATTTTGAGATGCGCTTGGTCGTTATTTCGAATCCGCATATACTATTTTTAGGGGGCTCAAATTTTGAATTAACGCCCATACCTGCTATTTCGAGAATTTATAGCAGTATTCACAAAGATCGGAAATATAGTTCCATACGAAGAAGCGATGAAGAGAATTCCGAAACCTACCTAGAAAAATAAAGATGATAGTTAAACATGTTTAAGAAAAAAATCAAAATCAACTGACAAAATATATAGTATTCAAAAAAGCCAGAAGTATAATTCTATATAAAGAAGTGATGAAGAGAATTCTAAAACCCATCTGGAAAGAGAAGAGTGTATTCAAGAAAGAAATCAAAATCAACTGACAAAATATATAGTATTTACAAAGGCCGGAAGCATAGTTCCATATGAAGAAGTGACGAAAAGAATTCTGGAACCCACCTAGAAAGAGAAGGGTGGTAGTTAAACGTGTTTAAGAAAGAAATCAAAATCAACTGACAAAATATATAGTATTTACAAAAGCCAGAAGCATAGTTCTATACGAAGAAGCGACGAAGAGAATTCCAAAACCCATCTGAAAAAATAAGTGTGTTCAAGAAAGAAATCAAAATCAACTGACAAAATATATAGTATTCACAAAAGCTGGAAGCATAATTCTATATAAAGAAGTGATGAAGAGAATTCCAAAATCTACCTAGAAAAAGAAGTGTGTTCAAGAAAAAAATCAAAATTAACTGACAAAATATATAGTATTCACAAAGGTCAAAAGTATAGTTCTATACGAAGAAGCGACAAAGAGAATTCTGAAACCCACCTAGAAAGAGAAGGATGGTAGTTAAACGTGTTCAAGAAAGAAATCAAAATCAAATGACAAAATATATAGTATTCATAAAAGCCAGAAGTATAATTCTATATGAAGAAGTGACAAAGAGAATTCCAAAACCCATCTGGAAAAAGAAGTATATTTAAGAAAGAAATCAAAATCAACTGACAAAATATATAGTATTCACAAAAGCCGGAAGCATAATTCCATATGAAGCGACAAAGAGAATTCTGGAATCTACCTAGAAAGAGAAAGGTGGTAGTTAAACGTGTTCAAGAAAGAAATTGAAAATATATAGTATTCACAAAAGCCAGAAGTATAATTCCATATGAAGAAGCGATGAAGAAAATTCCAAAACCTATCTGGAAAGAGAGGAGTGTATTTAAGAAAGAAATCAAAATCACTGACAAAATATATAGTATTCACAAAAGCCAGAAGCATAGTTCTATATGAAGAAGTGATGAAGAGAATTCCAGAACCCACCTAGAAAAAGAAGTATGTTCAAGAAAGAAATCAAAATCAACTGACAAAATATATAGTATTCACAAAGGTCAAAAGTATAGTTCTATACGAAGAAGCGACAAAGAGAATTCTGAAACCCACCTAGAAAGAGAAGGATGGTAGTTAAACGTGTTCAAGAAAGAAATCAAAATCAAATGACAAAATATATAGTATTCATAAAAGCCAGAAGTATAATTCTATATGAAGAAGTGACAAAGAGAATTCCAAAACCCATCTGGAAAAAGAAGTATATTTAAGAAAGAAATCAAAATCAACTGACAAAATATATAGTATTCACAAAAGCCGGAAGCATAATTCCATATGAAGCGACAAAGAGAATTCTGGAATCTACCTAGAAAGAGAAAGGTGGTAGTTAAACGTGTTCAAGAAAGAAATTGAAAATATATAGTATTCACAAAAGCCAGAAGTATAATTCCATATGAAGAAGCGATGAAGAAAATTCCAAAACCTATCTGGAAAGAGAGGAGTGTATTTAAGAAAGAAATCAAAATCACTGACAAAATATATAGTATTCACAAAAGCCAGAAGCATAGTTCTATATGAAGAAGTGATGAAGAGAATTCCAGAACCCACCTAGAAAAAGAAGTATGTTCAAGAAAGAAATCAAAATCAACTGACAAAATATATAGTATTCACAAAAGCCAGAAGTATAGTTTTATATAAAGAAGTGACGAAGAGAATTCCAAAATCTACCTGGAAAAAGATGTGTGTTTAAGAAAGAAATCAAAATTAACTAACAAAATATATAGTATTCACAAAAGCCAGAAGCATAGTTCTATATGAAGAAGTGATGAAGAGAATTCCAGAACCCATCTAGAAAGAGAAGGGTGGTAGTTAAACGTGTTCAAGAAAGATCAAAATTAAACAAAATATAGTATTCACAAAAGCTAGAAGTATAATTTTATACAAAGAAGCGATGAAGAAAATTCTGAAACCCACCTTGAAATAGAAAAAAATCGAAATCAAATAACAAATATATAGTATTAATAAAAGCCAGAAGCATAATTCTATACAAAGAAGTAACAAAGAGAGAGAAAGAAAAGAGTTAAAAAATCAAAATCAATCAAAATAAAAAAAAATATACAGTAACAACGTATTAAAAAAAAAGATTATTAATAATAATTATACAATGTGCATCATCTGTTAATTCAGAATTATTTTTTTAAACATGAAATATTTCACACTTTCTTACATAATATTTCGTAATATTCTTACAGAATATTTTGTAATTATATATTTTGTAATATTGTGCAATACTGCAATATATTGCGTAATATTACGGCTTTTTTACGTTATATAGTTTATTGCGCAATTTTATACACTATTAAATTTGCTGATATATGTATCGGTATAGAAAAATTTTCTGATACACCTCAAGCCAAGATATCCACCAATACTTCTACAGATATCTCCATATTCAACATATCTGAAATCACAATTCCGAAACCAGAAAAAATAGATTTCATTCTATTAGCCACCAATTATATCGAAAAAGATAAGAATGTATTATCCACTTTATCCATTATTAATATGATATATTCAATAATAGATCAACCAGAATTTTCAGTTGCTTCGTCATCTGTGTCTACTATAGCTTCAGAGATCGAACACGTAGAACTAATAGATGATAAACCTAAATATTCTTCTGAAATTATCGAATTAGTAAATGATAAGCTTGAGATTTCTCCTGACTTACTTGCAAACGATGAACTAAAATCTAGCAATAAAGAATCTTAAATCTAATCAAAATCATATCTATCTGGCTATTTAATCTGGGAGCAATATGAGGTTCGATTAAGACAATGGGCTATAGATCATAATGAAGACTCTGATAAGTTCGTGACTATTATAGATAAAGACAAAACTGATTTAATAGATTATCTAACAAGAATAGATGTTGATGCAAATACTTGTCTTTTTAATATAAAACAAGATAATGACCCCTATGATTTTATGGAGATGTCACATAGAGAAAGATTGATAGAAGAAGAAATCTTATACCATAGACTTGAAGATGAGAATTCGGATACAGTATCATTAAAAATTAGTTTTTTTCTAGCTTTGCATTTTCTTTTAGCTTTAGATGATATATGATTCCTTTGAGAAATATTTAGATTTGCTATCAAGTTTAAAATATCTTGCTGAATCTCAGGTTTCACTATCTCCAGTAATTAGTGAAGAGAGATCTAGATTTTTTTACCTAATACTTGCTTAACAATATCAGATAACGTGTTTTTCAAATCTAATTTTTTTGCAATCTTATAAGTGATAATTGAACATTCTAAATCTAAATCAATTACACTCTGTTGCTTTAACATTGCATCAAATTTTTTACAGATACTTTGTATTGTCTCAGAATTATCAGCTTCAGTCATTGTAATAGTTGAATTATTATTTATTAATATATAATAAAAAAAATACAATTTTTTTAATTATATTATACATCATTAAATATATTCAACATGCTCGTAAATACTCTTGTCAAAGGAAAAATCTTAGTAAAAGCATTAATAGATATATCATCAAAGTTTAATACTATTAGTAAAAGTTTGTTCGATAGGCTTGAAACTGATCATAGAATAAGACTAACTTGTGATCCCATTAAAAACCTCTATAAAGATACAATAGGTAAGATTTGTTGTTTGGATTTATAATTTTAATATAAAGAAACATACTATAGCTTGGATAACACTGATGTAATAGACTTTGAGATTCGAAGAATCTAACATTCGATCTGGTATTAGGACAAGGTTGGTTATGGGTGCATAAAGCAAAAATTATCTTTGGAGTTTCTTCCAGAGCCTATAAACACCATGACAAAATTAGAATAAATCATATGAGTATTCCATTAATTGAGGATAGCAATAAAGCTAGCTTTAGTAAAAATAACTCATTTGATTCTTCTGATTCTGAAATAGTGACCAATTCATCTAACTTCAATTCTCACAATCGTCTTCAAAAGAAAAAATACAAGTCTAGCCATTTTATAAATACCTTCAACTTGAGACCTAAACCTAATCTAACTTTGGAGAAAATCGCAATTATGCTAACTATATTTACACATAAGATAAAAAATTATTTGCAATTGCTACCAAAGATCTAGCAATCCTGACTTATACTAATTAATTCGTGAATGAACAGATCGTCAAATCTGAAATTACTAATTTTTTGATTATAATATTTTGTGCCTAGACATATTGATCTGTAAAAATTGCTAGATGCGGAGTATCCTTATTTCATAAGATACTATAAAACACACATTAATTAGTTGAAATATAGCAATAAACAAAAAACTTACAAGTATGAATATTATATATCTTAAAACCCTTGTATTGAATATTCTTAAAAATGGTTCTTCTGAAACTATTGCAAGTAGTATTGAAGTTCCTAAACTAGATTCGTGTTCTATATGCAATGAAAAAATTTTTTTGCACATACTTAAAAAGTCATTCACTATATTAATATGTGGCTATACTGTGCACTGTCTTTGTCTTGAGAACCTTAGAGAAACTATATTAACATGTACTATCAATAATTGTAGTGCAGAAATCGAAATCATTGAAAAGTCATCACTAATGCGGGCTCCATCACAAAAAAGTATAAGCATAGATGAAGGATCACAAGATCTGTTAATATTTGGTAAAAATTCTTTAGTGAATCTAGATACAATTGTAAAAGAGAACTCTAAATCTGCTACAAGTAATTTATCATCTAAGCATGCTGGTAAACCAACAGATAAAATATCAAGTAAAAAACAAAAGCAGGCTAAGAAAGAATTGCATATATTAAAAGATCTTATAAAAGAATTATCTACTGAACCTGAAGCTCTACAAGATTCTGTAACTAGAAAAGAAAATGCTATTAATTTTAATAATTTGTATAATAATATAACTCATACAGAAACCTAAAATGAAATTACAAATCAGGATGTTATAACTAGCTATTATCTTTTCAGTAAAGTACTTGAGGAGAGATATGATTACTATAAAAAAGTAATCTTAAGTGAATGGCTCAGGCCTTAGTTAATAAAGAAGTTAGGTCACAACTTCCAAACGCTGTTAGTGATGACTTACTTCAAAAGAAAAAAGAATAGACTTTGAAGATTTATAATCTGTTTAGTGAAATTGGCATTGAA